AGGATAAAATTAGATATGAAATGTTGCCCTAAGATAGTAATGTTTTGCCTCTTGAATAGCTGATAATTTTAGCAGAACTGTTGTTTTAACATATTTGGCTGTAAAAGTTGGGCAGAGTTAGTCAGGAGACAAGTAAGGTGTCTGGCTGGTGTCGACCATACTGAACTGAAGTCCCATCCTATGTTTTAGCCCTTTGTGCTTCCACAGATTTTAAATGGCTGCTCTTCTCTACAAGAAAAGGAGGGAAGACCTCCTTGGCTCAAAGGCTTATAACCCAGTCTTTCCCAGCTCGTCCCCATCTTCCCTCAAGGCAGTGTGATCTTGCCAGTAGCAATCCTGCTGAAAATCTGGTGATATGATAAAACACAAACTGCAAAAGAAATCTGTACTAGACTGTTGTGGGAACCACAGGGATTACCAAGCAGCATCTCACTGCTTGTTTTCATGTTGTGCTAGTTCAGAGCAAGGAAGCAGTGCAAAGCCCCCTTTGCATTGGCAAAGGGGAGCATACACAGTTCAGACTCACAGTTCCATATGTCCCCCATATGCCTTGCTTACTTCCTCCTCTTGCAAAGGGGAACAGAAATGGCTTTTTGTGTTTGACAAGGCTGTATCCAGGAGGTACATTTAAATGGGGAGAGCGGGGGGGTGGGGGGAGGCTGAGTGTGTTCCCAAACACTCATCTTCACTCATGTGCACTCAGCAAATCATCTGGCCATCAAGAGTAGTCTCTCTATCTTTGAGTAGGTATCCTCTTCCTCTACTTCTAGGCCTGAATGTGTGCCAGTCCCTATATTACAAAGACAAAACTCAATGGAAAGGTGTACTTTGCCTGAGGGCTGCTTCTTTTGCACAGGTGTGTGTCATAGTATGGTAAAAGTGTGCCCTCCCTGGCTGAGCCCCCTCCTACAGCAAACTATTTGAGCTGCTAATGGTCCTCTGGGGCAGAGCTGCTTACACAGCAACATGGAGATTATATATCAAAAGTGGATGAATACAGCCCTGCAATCCCCTCTGCAAACAAGCTTAGGAAGCTGGGAGGAAGGTGATGCCTGGATGGCAGAAAGCAAAATCTTCCTTTGCCCTATGAAATCCATTTCTAGTTGAGCACAAAGAAAACAGATGAAAAGAAAAAGAAATCCTGCCCACTGCCTCCATTGTGCCATCTACAAAGTGTGTGGGTTTTCGTTTCCATTAATGTGGGCCCGTCCCCTGGCCCTCTGCCAGCCTCCTGCTGAGGCCTCTCTCAGAGGAGGGGCAGCAGCCACAAGTCTGACAGGTGCTAGTGTTTTGGCAAGGAAAGGAGGATTCTTTTCCCGGTGTCTTTTAATCTCTCCTGAAGGGTGATTTCAATAGTCTTTGGTCTGTAGGGGATCACAAGCTCCCTAAAGCCCTTCAGCAAAAGCAGTTTCAGGCAAAGGAGGTTTCAGTCAGGTTGCCTGCCTTCTCTTTGGTCTCACAAAGCCAGTAGCCCCTCTTGAGGAAGAGGGCTAGAGATTAAAACAGCTTGTTCAGGCTGGGGCAGTGCTGATGAGTTTGCCAGGCAGATTGGAATCTGCAGTGTAACTCCAATGTCTGTGTTGATTTGTGAATTTTCTAAGTGCTATTTACTGACTCTTCCAAGTAATTCTTGTGCCCTAGAGACCTCACTGTGCATTCTGCAAATACAGAAACAAGTTAAGCTTTAGTTGCTTATTCTTTTAATTGAGCCCATGAAAGGAAGGAGGCTGGGACACTAGCCTAGACCTCCTGACACTGTGTTGCGGTGCCAGGCTTTCCTGTTCATTTGCAGACAAGAACTAGAGAAAATGGGAGAGTCAGTTCTGGTCTAAACTGATTCTAGTTTTTACGCACTCATTGCTCCTTCAAGGGAAAGGTGCCAGGGCCAGAAAACAGCTTTGTGTCCTCACAGGGAGTACAAAGCCCCTTCCCAAAGGTATTGCGTGTAGCACCCCGGTCTCCTGAAAAACAAGAGCATTCTTCACTGCACTGTTGGTACAGATTACCAAATGGGTTTTTTTGGTCCTGGTGTGCAGTGGCACTGTCCAGGCTCTGGTAGGCAATTCTCATCATTTCTGTGCTGGCTGATCATACCCTCACGTGACCCCTACACAAGGTGGAGTTCATTAAAAAATTAGGAAGGAGGGTTTTCCTAAGAGCCCCATCTTCCTTTCTGGGCTCTTCTGAGGTGCCAGTGTCCTTTCAGAGAAGGGCAAGGATGATCAACCAGCTGTTCTAGTCCTGAACTATACCACATCCTTCATCTTGAATAGGGTTCCTAATGTGAAAAGGAGCATGCTGATCTTATACTGACGGGGTACCCAAATACTGGCCCAGCCATTCATGCTTACACCCAGACAAGCAATGCTAGAGCACAGTTCATCCACACTTACTCCTGTAGACTTAATGTGCACCAGAGTCAGGCCTGACTTTCCTGAATTGCAAGGAAAGCAATAGCTTTACATTGGTGGAGTGTTTTGATCCCCAACCTCAGTGCACCACAAGAAAGGCAGGTGGCACAGAAATATACATCTCCCTGGGTGGTATAGTGCATGTTTCAGGCTGTGGCACCGACACCACCACATCTATTGCTCTGATAGGATCTGGGACTGGTGACTATATAGGGCAATGAGCAAAGGCCTAAAGTTGACAGACTGCCATCTCCCTGACAGTCAGTAGTCATTAGTTTTGTATAATGAACAAAAGCTGCCAATACTTAGGGCTGTGAGAAGTGAGACTACTGATGCTGCCCCCCATTTAGTGTGAGCTCAGCTACAGCTTGTGTGAAAGGCACAGAAAATGAATCATCATTCTTTATCTGTCTATGATCCTCAATATTGTTTCCATTTCTCTAATAGGTGTAAGGAGAAGTCTTCTCTGTCTTGCAGGACAGAGCTGGGATGCTGCTATGACTTTAACACTTTTCATTAAAAATGAACACCCTAAATCTGCTCTGATACTTTCTTTCATCGATTTTCTTTCCCCAGGGGCTTTACCAGATAAAGGAGACTTGTTTCTGGACCCTGCCATGGACCAGGAACTTGAGAAATTGTAAGTGGAAAGCAACGGATTAAAGGTAGCAAGCATGCTGTGGAACAGTGTAATAAAGTACTGTCCCTGTTCCTCTGCTTTACTATAAAACAATAGAGGAGCTAAAAAAGCAGCCTGAGCAGGGAGGGTTTCTTTTTTGGGGTGCTTTGGTGCACCTAACAAAATCCTTAGAAGAGCCTTCAGAAGCAGAGGGGACGAGTGGGACCGAGAGGAAGCAGCAGTCTAATGAACAGGGAAATTTTGTTTGGATGGTGAAAACTAGGAGTGTTGGAGGACATAGGCTCATATCAGAAGATATATTTAAACAGTAAAAGATTCACATAGTATGTCTGGGATGTACCAGTGCAAGGTGTTCCCCCTCTGTGATGTGAACATCTTTCCATCCCTGTGCTAGTGTAAGTCTGCCTCCCAGGTTCACTCCAAAAGTGCTGTGGTAAAGGTTGGAGATGACAAGTCAGGTTGCCTAGCATTTGTCTTTTCTCTTTCAGGGTAGCTCAGATTTCAGGGCTTTCCATGTCCAGTCCTGCCAGCTCCAGCGGGGACACAGCTAATGTGCCTGTCCGTAACTTACCCAGGATTAACTCACCCTGGAAACCTCTACACCATCGGCGAAAAATGGATGCTGAGAGCGAAGGCTCCAATGAAGAAACTGACTCCTCTGAAAACTGAAGGTTGTGAGGGTGGGCACCATTCCCATCTTGGGTTTCTCCAGAACCCACTGCAGGAACAGTACCTCTTCCCAGAGCATCTGCTCTGACGGAGGGTTCTGTCTACATCACCAGTGTGTGCGTGTGGCTGTGCTAGTCCCCAGTATCAGGTTCACCCATCTTTTCCCAGGAAGAGCTTGCATTTTTCCTAGCTCCAAATTTGTGCAAGAATAGCTCCTCCGCAGAAGCCATTTACAGCTGCAGAGTCATGCTTCCCCCTGCTGGCAGGCAAGACCAGCCAGCAGATGCCAGCTCTGCTGCCACTTAGAAACAGCTGGGTATGCTCTCACCGGGCTCTCCCTCACGGTTCAGCAGGTACTGAAGCAGTGGGAGCACTAGCACAGACTGCTTGCCAGTGTTTTGTTTGTGTAGCTCTGTTCAGATTTGGCCCGGACAACAGAGTGGTTAAATCGCCAGCAGCAGCTCTGCACTTGTGTTCCACTGTAATTATTCCCACTAAAGCTGCAGCTGCATATGATCAAAAGCAGAGAAATTCCTGAAGTTCCTAGAAAAGGGCAGCTTAGATATTGCCATGCCAGCTGTGTCTGCTCTGTGCTTTTTCCTCCATGTGTCCAAGACTGGCCAAAGCAAATACAGCAAATAAGCTAGACTGCAGTAAGTACTGCATGGTGCTCTCAGGCTCTGCTGCTGTGCCGAGTTCCATTCTGTGAGGTCTCCCACTGCCTCCAATGGCATATTAAGGTCATTTGAAATGGTGAGTTTCAGAGAGACGGGAGGGGAGAGGGAGTCTTTAAATTCCTTGGCCACAGGTGGTGTGGCTTGCAAGTATATAGAGCACCTGCTAGGGCTGGGTCGGCAGAAGCACTAAGGGAGAAGGAAGCAGTTCTCAAATGAGATCCAACTGGGGTTTTTTGTAGATATTGGCATTGTTGTAGCAGCATCACGTAGCCCTTACAACTACAAAAATAAGTAGTGTAGCATTGCATTAATGGTAACTAGCTCTGCAGTTTGACTTCCACAGATCCAAACACTTTGTCTAGCCCAGCTCCTGTGCCCCAGCTTGCACAGACTAGTTATTTCCTGGGGAACTTCAGTTTCTCACGTGTCTTTGGGAGCCTCCTTGCTCCTCCTGGTCATAAAGTGCTGCTACATGGGCCACCAGGAGCTGGTAACCCAAAGCTTGTACCAGCCCTCTGCTGTGGATTCAACACATGCTGGAGCTGCTTTAAGACGAATTCCATAACTACTGCTCAGTCTTTACCACAGCTCCACCTGTGGAGGTAGTGGGAGAAATTATTTATTATAAGTTATATTATTTATGATCTGTGTGTTCGTTCCCAGCTCGGTGAGTGGCTGTGACAGCCCGGCAATAAAGCACGCTGTGTCAGGCCTCTGCTGCATCTGGGTCTTCTGGGCTGCCCTGGCCCCTCCTCTAGGTGCTGCCTGGGGCATGGCCTGGGGGAAGCATCACTGAGCACTGGGGCAGCACTTGTGGCCATGCAGGTGCCCGTGAACTCCTGCCCTCACCCTGTGGCAACACTGTCACTCCCTGGAGCTCTGGCCCCTTCGTGCCGGGACACATGTGGCAAAGCCACAGGAAGAACCAACCCTTACCCCCCTCCTGCCCTATCACAGTGGCCCTGGGTGGCAAAACATCAGCATAGAGCAGCTGAGTAACGCTTCCTCATCCCAGCAGCTGCTACAGCCCCTCAATGAGCAGGAGAGGTGAAGCCCAGTCCCACAGAAAAGGCTTCAGAACAGCCTCAGCCTCTCCTCTTAGTATTACTAAGAGTGTGTAACTAGCCCTTTCCCACCCTTTTTCTTACTACCTAGTCCTCAACACCATAGTCCAAGGAAGAGAAAAACATGCTCTTGTTAAAAACAGAGTCAGAAGCAGTTGAACAGGACTAAAATGACAGTCCTCACTCACTGCTGCATCTCATGGTGATGTCAGAGGCTCAGTACTTTGACCTCCATCCAAACCTGGGCAACAAAATAACCAGGGATCCAGTAAATTACTTCTTTACCTGGGCCTTTCTTGCTGATGATGTAGTTAGAAGCTAAAAAGTTTTTTTTCTTCTGCATCTATATATGCTGGTTTAGAAGACAGTAAAAAGGACCATATCATGGCAAAAGTCAGACCCTGCAAATACAGAGGACTCCACAGCACCATGGATTGGGAGCACTGAGCAGAACAAAAAAGTCATATCACGTGATGTTCAGAAAAGTAGCATTCCCCTTTCCTCTGTCACTTGGTGAGTTAAGGTATGGGCCAAGAAGGACAGGAGCACTGATGAGGGCAGTCCAGGAGTTCCTGTCATATCTTTTACAACAGTGAGGTTAACCTTGTAAGAAGGCCTGTCTCTACTGGCTAGTAGATAGCAGTGGGTATGAGGGCACATTGAATTTTAATAGAGTGGAATCCAGAGATATTCAGAAAGCATCCTGGGAACAGCCATGTCCTGACTCCCTCCGGTTACCTTCTCCCCTCCCCACCCAACCCAGATAATAAGACAGTCCTGCGGAGTTTACTCCAGACAAAGGTGGCATCAGTGCCTCTTGCTTGCTTCCCTTTGAGTTGCAGTCCCTGGGGTCATCAATATGAGCCATAACGATCCTGGAGGAAAAAAGAAAACACCATGCTACAACACCTTCATGCAAAATCCAGAGACCAATAACAAGAAATTGGGGTGTTTGGTATTTCAATGCAGTATGTGGTTACCTAGATAGGACACCATGCAAAGGCAGAAGGTAAAATGATCTTAACTTTTTAAGTTCTGCCTGGAATTTGTGGAAAAGGCATATCTGACATAACAAGGCGTCCTGTACAGCAGGAGAGTAAGATGGCCAAGTAGAGTTCACTGGCCACCTGGCATTGCTCAGCTATTGTACTGTAGTTGTCAGCTATAAAAGACCGGTCTCTACCTGGGACTTTCCCCATAATTTAAGAAGACAACAATAATTCCAGTAGAAGCAAGATTATTGTGAAGGTCCCTGACCATGACAAGAGCCTGTCTGAAGGTGCCATAGTGTAACCTCACCTGGAGGGAGTTCATCACCCCATTGGCTAGGACAGCCATCTTGCCAGCAACGGATTTCACTCCTTGCTTGAACTGTGCAATGTCAGCTGCAGGCAGGACATTTCCAATAGACACGCCACCTGCAAGAACCAGCAGCAGTTAGCCTGGAGTTTCTCAGCTCCAGAGCACCCTGACCCCCTTCCTCAAACCACCGAGTGCTAACAAACCTGAGTGTACATTGTCAGCCTCTCCAAACAGGTCTGCAGAGCTGATGGCGCTGCTGCCTGAGAGCTGCTGCAGTCGGGATCTGGCTTCGTACTGCAGCAGAAAACAAAATAAAAAGGTTATAAAAGAAAGGAATAAAGTAGGACCTGAGCAAACAGAAGGAGGTAAAGCCAGAGCTGTAGCAGCATAAGCACTGCAGAATACATCTACCTCAGCATCTGCCTCCCGCCCAAAAAACATATCTGAAGAGATAGCTTTAGCCCCTGCAAACTTCTGCCGAGCTTCATTGGATTCCACAATGGATGGCCTGTTCTCAGTCTCCCGCCTACTGGTGGGTCTAAGGAAACAAGAAAAGACACGTCAGCTTAAGCTCATCAACACAGTAAAGAATCAGACTTCTGTCTCAGACCCCATCTGATTAAAGGAAAGCAAGAAATCCTCAAGTGCTAGCTACCATCTCTGCCCACCTCAGGACAGCCAGCACTTGACCATAGAGGCTGTATCAAACTTAGGGATATGATAGGGAAAGAAGTGCCTAAGGCCCTTTCACTCAAGGCCCTTTTTCTTGGGCTTGTCTGTGCAAGTTATCTTTTGTAGCACAAGGCTCCTGCTGTAACACAGCAGCATCTCTCCCACAGCTCCCAGACTTATCACTTTGTCCCACACACAAGGGACACAAGGTACACCAGCAGCAGTGGCAAGCATTACCTCTCTGAAACTGGCCGAATACTGGAAACAGTCACCTCAGGTTCCTCCTCTTTGTCCATACCCCATGAAGAGTCTGTTTCCCATCGTGAACCAAATGCATCTTCAAATGAGAAGGGACTGTATTTGTACCTATCAAAAATAGGTTAATTGAGGCCAGACATAAAATTCAGGATTAAGCCAAAGACTACACCGAAGCCAAGTCTTACTTGGGGGGTCCACATGTGAAGCTTCCACCATCTTCAAACAAGTCCAATTGAGAGCGGGAAGACTTTGCTCCCAGCGGCGTCTCCTGCTCAATTACTTGCATCTCAGCCATCACCGAGTGTGAAACAGGACTAGCACAGGAAACAGGCAGTCAGGGCTGATGGGTCTGACAGCATCCAGCCCCTACAACCAGTCTGCCTCAAAACTGAATCTGGCCTTCTGGCAGGCAGGACAGGTGCCACAAGCCTGGAGGGAGAGCTTTGGGATTGTCAGCCCCCTTCACCACTTATCTATGCTCCTTCAGAAGTCTTGAGCTACCTTCTTAAAGGAAGGATCCTGCAGGGAGACATCTGTCAAGCAGCAGGGCTCTAGAGCTAGACACTGACAGGCCACATCTGTGGAAAAGCTCAGATGAGAACTAGAACCTTTGAACAAAGTGCCCATTCCTTCTGGTGCCTGAAGCATTTTTAGATCTAGACCAGCAAATGAACTCTTTAATAAAATCATCTCCTTATCTGTTACAAGAGCAAGCTACTGCCTTCAAGAAACTTTTCCAGAGCAGGGTGCTTCTAAGACACCTGTCTGTCCTATGCCATCCACAGCCAAGTACCTTCTGGACACCAAGCCCATGCCCAGCCTCTCTGCTTGTTCACGTTTCTTCCCTTCAAGATTCTGAAGCTTCTTCTCTTCCTTCTTCCGATCAAGCTGCAGTTCCTGATAAGCCAGACGCATTGAGGCAACTCTGAAGGAGAGAGGTATGGTGGGTACCAGCTCATTACCCTCCCTTGCTGCCCGTGCTGTGGAGGAGTAACCCATCAAAACAGCCATTTTCAGAACAGCTCTGCCAAAATCCTTGCACAAAAGCTACTGCTTGTTTTCCAATCTCACCTCCCCTGAGATTCAACTCTTCTTCTGGCTAACCATGATTTCCTTACTGTAAGCATTGCAGCATCTGTCTTCCCCTCCCCACCATGAGAATGACCCATCCAGTTCGGCCTTTGCCTTTTTTAGTCCTGTTCAAAGGTGAATAGAAACACAAAATACTTGCATATCTGCTCCCTAAACTCTTCCAGGGATGATAATTTGAATAAAATATGTCAGTATAACTTGTGCCCTGCTACAAGGGCCATACTGGCTTATAGCTACTGCTCCTCCTGTAATGCAATGTGTTCTGTACTCACATTAGGTGGTCCTACGATGAACAGCATTAACCTCATATTACTTCTGCCTTACATATGCAAGGTACTCATCCCAAACAGGGCACTTACATGGACTCCTCGGCTTGTTTCCTGGACTCCACTGCCTGCTGCTCCCTCAGCTGCTCTGCCACCTGGGCTTGTCGCTCAATCTCACTGAAGCTCTGGCTGCTTACTTTCTGGGCTCCAAGACCTTTTTTTGCTCCCAACTAGAAAAACAAAACAAAAAGTTGTGATTTCTTCACCCTAGATTGTTCACTCTAGAAGAAAACCTGAATCCTACTTCTTGCTGCACTGATCAGGCCTTCAGTCTCCCTGTGTAGTCACAACCTACAGACCCAAAAGAGCTTGCAACACAGTATGGAAGAACACCCAAGAGTTAACCCACCAGTGGCCAGCACTAACAGCTCAGCCACATACACTTCAGACCGTAACCAGTAATGATCCAAAACCTAAATTTTTTGTGCATTAATATACAAGCTGTCTAAGCTCTCCCTTCCCCAAACGGATCTCTTAGTATGTAGCTTTGTTAAGGGCAGAAAGCAAGGGCCAGGGAAAGGACAGCAGTAATATGAGACATGCCTCTCCATAAAACAAGAGCTCAGACATACCCCTTTCTTGGCAGCTCCTGGCTTCTTCTTTCCAATGAGGGAGGATTTAAGTTCTACAAGAGGAGGGAAGCAGCAAATAAGCAGAAGTGAATTAATTTAAAAAGCCAAAATTAGACAGCAACATGAACATCCACCACAGTCCAGCTGCTATTGCGTCCAGGGCACACCATGCACTTTACATCAGAAGACTGGGTGCCTTCACCCAGATAAGTAAGATGCACTTAGAAGCTCCACAATTGCAGGCTGTTGGCCTAAAGAAGCATGTCCATTGCTGAAGAAACTTGTAAGTGAATTAAGAACTGTGAATAGCTCCTCTGAGTGTTATGCAGCAGGTGACCCCATCCAGTAGGGATCAGGTAGTTAGAGAAAGACTAGATTTATTCCATACACAAATTCAAGAAAATGCAGCTTCAGAGGCATATGAAGGACAGTGCCTCACCAATGCCTTAGGGACAAAGCAGCAAGAACCCTGAAGTCATGTTTACATGAACATTCCAACAACAAAATGGACCTAAAGTGCAGCGAGCTGTAAAAGCAACAAGGTTCCCCAAAACCTTGCACTTATGACTCTGAGGGCATACCACACTTGTAAAACCAGACAAGGTCCAGCCAAGCAGCAGATGCCTGGGGAAAAGGGTAGGAACAAAGCAGAGACAGACTGCCCAAGACATTTTTCCAAGCTCAGAAATCTTTTATCACCCTTGTTGGGCTTTTCTTCTGCATGTGTCTCCTTACTTTCTACAGCCACATGACTTTTGTTAGTCCATAGATCATTCTTGACAGCCTTTCCTGTATCTTTTTTAGTCTTACCATAAGTTTTTGAAATAAGAAGATTCAAAACATTCATGCTATCCCAGACTGTTCTCCACTCACTGTTCCTAACATTTGATTTGAGGGTTTTTGTTTTTATTTTTACTGTTAGGAAACATTAAACAAAAAAGTCAATAAGGTCTCTTTACAGATGTGAAATAGCTGGTTTAGATCCCAATACAACACATATAAGCTTTGGGTCATTCTCTCCCCCCAGGCACAGGAAGTTAAGTTAGAATTGAAGGCAGAATTACAGAAGGGGCAAGCAGAGTTGTCACAAGCAGCCAGTGCAGGCCAGCTGTTAGCCAGTTACCTCTGGCAGGAGCAGCCCCTTGTGTTGATAGATACATGGACATGTCTGAGGAAGAGACATAAAACATGGGGAATGAACAGACACTCGAGGACACAGGCTTTCCACCCAGAATGAACCCACTGTGGGCAAGGAGCATGCTCCCAGTAAGGAAAGAAGCTCCAGTTAGATGCTTTGTGTGCAGCCAGGACAGTAATGGCAGGAGAGAATCAGATACAAATCCCTATTACTCTGATTCTAAAAATTCATTTGTCTCCAAAGGTTCTGTGGGGAAACAAACCAAAAAACCAAACACCACAGCCATGTGGCCTTGGTCATCCAGGTTCTTGATATGCACATGCCAAGTCTTGTCCAAAGCTCAAAAAATAAAAACATGTTTTTGGGAAGGCAACAGCTTTGAACTCAATCGCCCGAAGGAGGAGGAAGTCTCCAGCAAACTGTAGCTTGGCATTGGGGTTCAGGAACATAGTTAGTACTGGCTCCACAGGAAGATAAGCTTCTTTAGATATTCTGGAAATTGGCTCATTGGTTCCAGCTCCACTGAGCTTACTACTGAACATAAGGTATAAGAGCAAGACTGATCAAAGAGATGGTGAAGAGTCTTACTTACCTAGAGGAGCTTTAGGAGATGTGCTCAACAAGTCAATAGATGGGCCTTGGCTGGCATCTGTGGGCACAAAACCAGAAGAAAACATTCAGCGGATTGATTCTCAACACCTTTTTTCCCAGTGTGTTCACAGGTTCACTACATCTCTTCCAGCTCCTCTGCCCCCACAAACAAATCAAGTTACAGCTTGAAACATGCAGTTTCCCAAGCACAACAACTTTATGTCTCCATAGAGCAAATTGTTCTCTCTGCAGTGTTCTTAACACAGTAAAAGAAAGCAACCACTCTGCTGGGAAATATACAAAGCCGTTTCAAATTACAGCTATGCCCCCAGATTCTTGGTTTCCTTATCATTCAGCCTAGAAACAGTTTTCTGCTCTATATTCATGTGTCATTTTCAGAACCACACAATTCAAGGGATAGAGAAGAGTGTTTAAACAAATAATTATGCCCGGAATCAGGAAAACGGGGCAGCTAAATCCACAAAACAGTTCTGCGTGCATTTCAGGAAAAGCAGAGAACTGATCCCAAACATAGCAATGTTTTTTAAGTCTCCACAAATTTAATAAACATCACAGAGTGCAGAGAGCTTCCACTCCTTCAAACCACTCAGCCCTTCCAACTGCAGTAGAGAACTGTATTCTCCCAGAAATGAAAGCATGTCTTTGGAAAGAATAATTCAGCAAGGAACTCACTTGACACTTCACTGCCTTCTGATGACTTTGCTGCTTTTTCCACCTCTGGGGAAGACTGTGCAAGATTCTGGCTGGCATCTGCTACATCCCAGGTACTGGAAGACTGCAAGGAGATGCTCATTCCAATGATTTGTAGAAGATGAATGAACCAGAAAATCCTGAACTTACTTCAGGTTTGGTAACCCATATTCAATTTTAGGCCAAAGGAAACTTGTTCTAAACTCCAGACTATATCTTCACTGAAGATAATATACGAACAAGTCAACATTCCCTTACCAGGGACAAAAGTTAAAGAAAAAGTGAAAGCTAAGCTGAATGAAAGACCAAGAGGAATGACAACATCATCTGACAGTTGGCTACTGTGAGGACTTCTCAGGTTAAAGCACATGAGCTTAAATCTAGAAGAAAGCGTGAATGAGTTTTCCTGGAAAAAATTAAACCTCTGCTCCCACTGTCTCTATTTGCCATTCTCAGCCAATTCTCACGTTGCTCTATTCACCCGAGAAAGTCTGCCTAGCACTGTGCAGACAGTTGCCCAAATCCATTTTGCCAGGGTCTGTGCACTGAAAAGCTGACTAACCAGAAGTTCAAAGGAATAGCCAGTTCTTGCTTAAACTGTACAAAGAAACTATGCATTAACACAGCAGACACTACCAGGGAGTAGCTGGTAGCTCTGAGTATTGTTTGAAGGTAAAGATGGTCTTAAAAACAAAAGACATGGATATTACAGGCCCCATCAGGGATCGCTGAAATCTGTGACTATGTCCAAGACAGATGACTGAATCTTAGTTCTTCCATGTAACTACTGATTAATTATACAATTTAGAGTCCTTCCAAACTAAGTGGGACTGCTCCTGATTGAACAGCTGGCTATTTGAGAGCTAGTAAGGCTGCCTGGTTTAGGCAGTTCTTCTCACCTGTGTGTGCTCTGTAAAGAAATCAGCATCACTCTTGTCAGGGGAGTGCCCAGGGGCTCCGCTCAGTCCATCTATAAGCAGCTGAAGAGAGGAGAGGGAAAAAATAAGGTATCCTACAAGACTCAGCATCCAGCACTACTCATATAACAGTGCCAAGCTGCTCAGACTTACATCAGTGCCATACTTGGCCATGGCAGCACTTGCCAGCTGCCGGATCTTCTCCCTGTACATCTGGGCAGCTCGGCTGTTATATTTAGCATTGGCATCTGTGGTAGTACAGCCATGCTGGCGGAAGAAAGCAGTCTGAAAAGAGAAGAATATTCAGTCTCCTGACTGCTAGATCGTACTCAAGCATGCATTAGACAAACTCAATAGAAAAAGAAAGCTTCCCAGAGACAGGGGATGACATACTGAGAACACAGCATGAACCAACCATTCACTGATCAGCTTTCTCCAAGATGTCTCACTCCAGGCCACAAAGGCTCATGAAAACCATTTATATCCTCCACAGAAGGAGGATTCTGATTCACAATGCTGAGCATGAGCTTTCAAACTGATGAGTGTTATTAACTCCTATCATTTAAGAAGACTGTGCCTCATTTAAATGAGGTGCAAGAAAATGACAGAACTGCACATCAGAAAACAATACAGGCAAAGATCACAGTCTGACCTCTAAGCACACCTGACAAACGCCTCCCCCTTCATTACACATTTCAGAAGAGTTTGCTATCCAGAAAAAGAATAGGTGAGGTTGGTACTGATAAAGCCACACAAAGGAAAGGTACAAGAAACAGAGGGTGTGGATTAGTAAGAGGGAAACCAAGCAAAATGCCCACAGAGGCTCCTCACCGCATTGGCATTGCTGCCCACTTGCATACACCTCAGCTGGAACCAGTTCCAGTTAGAATCCAACTCCGTGGACCTGTGTGAGAACCAATTATTTCTATTAATGAAGAACAAGCATACCAAATGCAAAAGCAAGCTTTAACTTAGAATGGTCAGATATCCCACTACTATCCCAGAGTATATAAGGCAAAGAGGGAAAAAACATCTTAGTAACTTCTTTGCTCCTGTAAAAAAATTAATTTTAACTTTTAAAGTGAGGAAAAAAACCCAGCTTCACATCAAATAATATCCAAATTTTGAGGATCTCTCACTTGTACTGCTTGTTTAGAGGGCAGAGCTTGAGCTAGGAAAGTACAGCCAAGAACTTTTGTTCTACATGAGATCCCACATGTAGAGACTCATATTCAGCCCGTCCGATGGATTAGGCCAAAACACATGACAAAGCAACTGAGAAAACATCCAAGTAAAGTCAGGGGACACAGTGCATCTCATATCAGTTACTCAACTTTTCTCTGAACAAGTAAAGGTCACAGTTCTATTACTTAAAATGCTAAATTTTATAAGTACCAAAAAGAACTAAACTGAAAATCAAAAACCATCTTTCCCGCTGAGTTGATACAGAAAAGATTAAATAATATTCCTCTTTTTGCCTTGTTCAGCATTACAAGAAAGACTACCATACTGCTGTTTTACTGGCAAGATTCACACCGCACACACACTCCTCTCTCTGCTTCTACAAGTCAAAGTCCAGGCAGCATTTCTGCAAGCTTAGCGAAAGTAACATGTCGATGGTCCACTTCAGGTGCTTTGGAAGCTCCGTCTCGGAAGGGTTCAGTGACCCAGAACCTCCGGCGAGCGAGACACACACAACCCGAAGGGATCGCTCGTCTCCCAGTCGCTGCCTGTTCCCACGGCAAGGAGGCACGGCTGCCCCAGGCCTGCCGGCGGCACCGCGGGCCGGGCCCCCGCTCCCCACGCACCTGATGAAGCTGAGGTGCACGCCCAGGGACCTGTGGACACCGGAGCAGTCGATGCACAGGAAGACTCCGTAGGTGATGCTGGCCCAGCTCGGGTTCTTGGCGCCGCAGTCGAAGCACGACTAAAGCGAATGCAGAGGGACAGCCGGGCTGAGGCGGCGGCTCTGCCGCTCCGCCACCCGCTGCCGCAGCCCGGCGGCCCCGGCTCTCCCCGGGCCCTCCTCGAGAGCCGCTGCCCGGCCGCCCCAAGAGCCGCCGCAGCGCGGCCCGGAGCCCACCGGGGTCCGGTCCGAGCGCAGACCGCGGCCGCAATGCAGCAGCTCGGCACGGAGGGTCCGGTAGCCCCCGGCCGCTCCCCGCTACCTTGTTGGCCGGCGCTGCCCGGAGCCGCTTGAAGAGAGTCTGGATCTCCGTCTTGCTCGGCTCCGCCGCCATGATCTCTCCTTCCCAGACACCCCCGCGGGGACGGGAGCCGGCCGGGCCCAATCGGCGCCGCGGCCGCGACTGGTCTGTGCCGGGCCGGCTCGCCCCGCCCCGGGAGCGGAGCAGCCCGTCCGCCGCCCGGGTGCCGGCCCGCTGCTGCTCGGGTGTCACGGCATCGTCTTCGCACGCCGGAGGCTAAACACGAGCGGGGACGTTCCGCGCGCCGAGACCCCCCTCAGCTCTGAATGCTCACGGCGGTCCCGCAGCCCCGTACCCGGCACTTCTGAGGGAGCCCTTCTGGCCGTGCCCGTCCTTTTGGGGCCGCTGCGGGCCCGGACCGAGATAAGGACCCTTTAGAATAGCAAAGAGGCAGTGCCTGCCGCGGGTCAGCTTCTACCGGGGAAAAAGCTCAGCGATTACAGGCAGCACCTGCTCCAGCAGCCCGACCTCAGGACACCGCGTCTGGCACACTGGCACAAGTGAGTGGTGATTTGGAAGTGATTCACAGAATCACAGAATATCCTGACTTGGAAAGAACCCACAAGGATCATTCAAGTCCAACTCCTGGTCCTGCAAAGGACCATCCTCGAGAGTCATACCATGTGCCTGAGAGTATTGTCCAAACACTTCTTGGACTCTGTCAGGCTTGGTGCTGTGACCACTTCCTTGGGGAGCCTGTTCCAGTGACCAGCCACACTCTGGGTGAAAACCCTTTTTCTAATATCCAGCCTAAACCTCCCCTGACACAACTCCAGGCGATTCCCTCTGATCCTGTCACTGGTCGCCACAGAGAAGAGATCAGTGTCTCTTCTTCCCCGCACGAGGAAGTTGGAAACTGCAATGAGGTCTCCACTCAGTCTCCTCTTCTCCAGGCTGAACAGACCAAGTGACCTCAGCTGCTCCTTGTACAGCTTCCCCTCAAGGCCCTTCACTACCTTCGTAGTAGCCTGATTTAGTGAGGGGGGAGACCTCTCAGCACTGGCTAATCCTGTGCAGTAATCAAGGCAGCATGAGGCAATAATCAAGGTAGGGAAGTTGTTACTTCAGAGCAAAGATCATGTCAGGGCCTTTAACTGATGTATTACCCACCTGGAAGCAGGAGGGTATGGGATAGAAAGCCATTCTGGTATAACACGAGGAAAACAGGAAAAAATGTGGCTGTGCTTTGAACTAAAAGTCAATGGCATATAGGCCATTTCATGCTTTAGCAAACCAAAAAAAAAAAAAAAAAAAATTGGTGCAGAGCAATGAGAGATTCAGAAGGGCAATAACAACAAAGGCTAATCAGTAGCATGGTATTATAGAGATGGAATAGGTTGGGATTTCCTTACCTCTGAGATTCCTCTGCAACACCAGCTTGTCACTAAAAGAAACAGTTAAACATACTAATACCTGGACAACTTTCAGTTTAAATTTAAAGACTTTCATTTCACTCATTTCCACATTATCCACAGATATTAAGGCAGACAGTAGAATTCATTGCAATGGGAACCTAGGACCTATGATCTTAGGAAGATACGTAAAGTCGGGACATAGAGATGCAATCAGGAACAACAGAGTTGTTGAGGAAAAAAAAACTGCAGGAAAAACCCCCTGCAGGTTTAGCGGGATCTTATATTCTGGGAATCAGAAAAGCTCTAACTACATGATCAGAGTGAGATCTGATATAGGAGGCACATACAGTAAGATGAGAGGCTTCTGGCTGACACATCTGACTCAAGCTACTCTGAGATGAGTTTCTGAACTGGGTAGTGAAGCCTGATCTAGTGTGACAGGGCTCATTCTTGGCAGCAGTCTTATCTTAAGCAGCCCCAGGTTTCTGTTGCTCTTATACTGCTATCTTAATTGTGCCTATATGCCCATTTCTGGGATTACACAAACAGCATTGGGGAACCAGTTCAGGTGAAAGTAACCGATAGCAGTTTCCTCACAGCTATTTTTAAAAGAGTTGAGTTCCCTGATGCCATTCATGGTGCAGCTGTCCTGGCAGTCATACCAGGAGAGCTGATGTCAGGGTGCAGTAAGGGCTGGTTGCACACTAGGAGAAGAAGAGCTGTGAGAGGGGTGTTCCTGAGGCCAGCAAGCCAGGGCCCTCACCAGCCATGGCCCATTGCCACAGTACTTGATCATGTAGAGCAAGGCAGGCCCAGCACAGTGGCTGAATTTCACCAAAAATTGAGATAGCTAGGCAAGTTTGTGGTGATGAGGTAGTTTGTAGTCAAGCTGGGTCAGGATCAGCCCAGTGATTGCCAGGCATGTCTGTGGTGACAAGGCAAGTCAAGCCTGAGATCAAGCTGGTAAACCAGCCTACAGGTCAGGCACAGAGACCATTACTCCTCCAACTTAGCTCAGACAGGGACTAGTAGCTCTGGGCTGAGCTTAAATGCAAACACATCCAACCCCCCCAACCCCCATGGGCTGGGAGTTTGGGTAGAACCCCAGGTGAGGCTGCTCAGGACAATGAAGACATGTTAGTGCATTCAGGGCCCAGGGTGGAGGCTGTGTAAGCTGCATCTTGTGTCGAGGAGCAAGTTCAGATGATGAGTGTGCATTGGGAGTGTTTGTGTTCATGTTGGCTAGAGCTGCCCCAACCTGAGTTGCTTGCTCCTGCCTTGTCATCATCTGTTTTGTGGTGCTGCTCCCTTCCTCTGCTTGTTTCATTCTTGTGAGCTCTGTTTGGCTGTGTGATGGAGATGTCACACAAGGGTTAGGAGGGACAGACTCTGTTCATGCTGGCGTTCCTCCAGCTGAGGCTTGCTTGTGAGATAGTGTCCTGGTTTTGACTGGGATAGGGTTAATTTTCTTCCTAGTAGCTGGTGTTTTGCATTTAGTATGAGAAAATGTTGATAACACAACTGATGATTTGGTTGTTGCTGAGTAGTGGTTACTGTAAGCCAAAGACTTTTCAGTTTCCCAGATTCTGCCAGTAAGGAACTGCCTAAGAAGCTCGGAGGGAGCATGGCCAGGACAGTTGACCCAAACTGGCCAAAGGGATATTCCATACCATAGAATATCATGCCCAGTATATAAACTGGGGGGAGTTGTCTGGGAGGGGCTGATCACTGTTTGAGGAGGGGATGGGCAGTGATCAGCAGGTGGTGAGCAGTTGTATTGTGCATCACTTGTGTTTCTTGAGTTTAATTCTTTTATCATGATTATCATTACTATAGTTTTACCTTTTTATGATTCTCCTCCCTATCCCACGGGAGGGTATGGGTGAGTGGAGTGAGCAGGTGGCTGCGTGGTACTTGGATGCAGGGTTAAACCACAACAGAGAGAAATGGCATGTGCCAGGAGGAGGCAAGGCAGCCTCAGAGGCCAGTAGGTCAGTGTCACACTTTGTCTCTGCCTGTCTGTGCTAGGGGACATGGGGAGATACAGTACAGGCGCCTCTCCTCCGCGGAGGGAGCACAGTTTCTGTTCACTGCACCATGTCCTAGGAAGGCTTGCTACAGCAGGGTTACTTAAATTCTCTACCTCAGTAGGGTCCCTTGCAGGCCTTCCAGCTCATGCTGGTTGCTCCAGATCCTGGCAAAGCTGCCGATCCTGTCCATCAGTTTTCCATAAAAGCAGCAGGAAGAGCATGCTGCTGGTCTGAGAAATAATCAGTTTCTTTCTGTTGCCTTTGTCAGTTACAGGAAAGACCTCCTGCTGCTGACTGTTCCCTGTGAGCGTGTGTTGTCATTGCACTGTTCTTGCTATTTCCTCCATCTGTTTCTTTTGCATCTCATATGCTTTAGTGCTGAATTCCTGAGCTCCAAGCTGGCAGCCTGCTCTTTGGCCCTCAGCTTCCCTGTCCATCGACATCACATCTGACACTTGCCTCTTTCTTCCTGACTGCTGTGACACCAGACCCTGAGCCTGATGTAGTCTCCTAATCAGAAATCACCTTGCTGTTACCCACCTCTATTTATGAAAGATAAGATAGAGCATCATCCAAGAGAGCAAAGAAAAGCAAAGGACCGTGACTAGGCTTGTTCTTGGAGTCTGCCATAACACTGGGGATGCATTAGCAGTACAGAAGTCTGGTTATCTGAGGGCATGAGGTCACTGAGCTGGAGAGACTCAGGAGTGAAGTGCTGTGATGGGGATCAAACATGCCCTGCACGTTCAGGCCTGAAAACAAGAGAAGAGAAAAAGAGAAGTGAAGAGAAAGTGCTTCTCTGTGAGTCTATCCAAAAGCAGGGTGGCAGAAGGAAAGAGGGACCTTGCTCTCTTCTCACTGTCCAGCAAAGAACATGGGTGAAAGGACTGTGCAGGAGAGATGAGGTGGCTGAGTCCTGCTCTCCTACTCAGACCCATTGGCCTCTCACACTTTCGCTGAATGAGAAGATTTGGGAAAGGGTCTGACAAATTCAGTAAACTACCCAAAAATTAACAGGGACATATAGTTTCCCATAGATCACAGTGTTAAGTGGTGGGGTACCAGGAATCTACAATGATACCTTGGGCAGAGAAGCAATTCCTAACACAAATCTCTTACTTCCCCGCCCTCCCCACCTTCCTTACTAAGCAGTTTACAGACATGAATTAATCCACGATTTCCCTCAGGGATAGTCAATAACCCTGGGAGAGAGCTCTGCTCAGTATTTCAGGGCTATTTTCAGTAGTGGAAAGAGCAAGCATAGCCATGAATGAAGGAGTGGAGTGTCAGATAGAAAGCATTCTCCCTCTCACTAGAACAAGGGATGGGTTCTCAGCAGGGATGTCCCTTCCCAGAATAAGAAGATACTCCCAATTTCCAGTGGTTTCAGGGATCATGTGGAAACTTTTCCATATGGTTAGGTTACGTTTCTGTCAAGTCAGCAAACTGCCTGCGCTCCCGTAAGGCCATATATTTGCTGGGATTGATGTGAGGGAAGCAGATGGCTGAGAGTCGTGGGTGACTGGCCTGCTGGTGTGCTGGACTGAGTGTAATTAGTAGCTGCCTTCTTAGGAAGGAGTACAGCACTGAGGCAGGCAGTCACGTCACACACTGACTCTGTTCAATGCTGCCAGCATGATCTAAGATAAGAAGCTAATAGACTATGTGTAGAGTGAATATTTTGTTCAGGTTTACAACTTACAGTTTTACTGCAGTCTTGCAAATGTTGTGGTTTGGAGAAAAGCCAGCAAATGTAGAAGAAACACATAAGTTAAGGAACACAATGGATATTGTGTTCCTTGAGAGATGTGTTGATCACTTGAGAGATACTAAGGAGCAGAGTCATGGCTGGCTTGCTCTGATTTGGGGTTGTGTTGCAGCTGAAAGGCTGGTCCTGCTGCACATGCTGTCCCTTGCACCCGCCCTGGCAAGCGGCAGCCGTGGGCTGAGTCGTGTCCCCAGCCCTGCTCAAATGCTCATGGTCATTGCACTGCTGAGCTTATCTCCTGCTGAGCTTGTGTGATTGCTGAATATGTAAGGGAAGGGCTAGGAGTTTTGAAAGGAAGAGAGGACTGTCCCTTTCAGCTGTGCCAGATGATGTTGGGCTGCCAGGCAAAACTGCTGGGATTTGATGGAAAGGGTAACTGGAGTGTGGGGCCAGGGGAGGAGTGTGCTGCTCCTGGGTTGAGTGTGTGTGTGTGTATACATGTATGCCTTCAGGCTTTTATTTTGTAACTCCATTTCCTATATTATAATCAAATGTTTATTTGCAAATGTCTGGTAATATCACCTCTGGCCTAGCAGCTTTGGACTTGGGAGTCTTTGGGGATACCTCAAAGTAGGGGTGAGCTGGCCGATATGCCCTGGGGTTTCCTGGATTTGAGGACAAGTTTTAGACCTTGCTGTAATGTCTGCAGATGTTACAGGTGTCCCTGCTGGGAGCAGGCTGTTTGGCAGGGGACAATCACTCAACTGATGGAAAACGTGTTCATCACACCACATGGGAGCAAGGTGGAGAAACTGGGCAGTGAGCAGACCCCGAACTACCTCACCTTCTTTCAAGGGCAGTCCACAGCACAGATACTAACTTGCTTGAGTTCAGAGCCAGCAGGGCTGTCCACCTATCAGACACAACCCTTCCAAGTTTTCCAGTGCATGTGTAATCTCTCTTCCTTGCACCTCACTCCACTCACCAGTTTTCTAAACTGAATCCCTCTAGTACAGGGACTAGTTGCCTACAGCCCCTACAACAAGCATTGGGAGCATGCCTTAAGCAGAAGACAGAGACCCTTGAAAGCAAGGCAGAAACAGCTGACAAAAAGAGAAGATAAGCAAGGCAAAATGAGAAAGCTCTTTTGAAAATGTACAATTATCAGAGTGCAAGCACTGCTGTCAAACAGGCCATTATGAGGGATTTGGGTGGAGCGAGAGTAAGTAGCAGTGCTTCAGCTCCTCATGTGTAGAGGGGATGCAGGGCCACTGGTGAAGCAAACATCCATAGGATTGTGGATGCAGTATTCCTTAGGAACTGTGTGGCACCTGTGGGGAAGCCCTGAGGAGAATTTGAGAGAAGGGCTAGTGTGGTCACAGCTGGGGGCAGTGACTCCTTTGGTGTCAGCCTCCTGCTGAAAAGCAGGAGCAATAGACTCAGGAAGGAAAGAGGTAGTGAAGTCAAAGGGGGAGAGTGCAGGACCTGGAAGAAGGCTTCCAGCTGCTTGGATAGAAAGGAAACACAAGGAGGAAGGGACCACAGGATCTGCAATTAGCAGGACCTAGCGAAAGCTCTGAAACTGAAGAGGAGAGATTGTGGGCCCCTACACTAAGGGGGAATAAGTGCTGAGCACCACTACACTGCCTGTTGAGAAAGGAAGTCTCAAACTGAAGCTATAATTGCCATAAGTGAAGAGACTGAAAAACCAGGAACCTCTGCAAGCAGGTTCCTGAATTATGAAAAACAAGAGGACGTGGCCAGAAAATGGATATACTGAAAGCAGCTGAGGTGATTTGGCCTGAAATTTGGTTTGGAGAAGTTCACTGGAGCCGTGTTGCTTAGTTAGATGTTCTAAAGATAACTAGCCAATTTTTTCCAGTTACAGAGCTCACTCTATTACCTTCTTCCCGTCCCTTTCAGCAAGGATTTGTTAATCTTTTCATATTAATCCTCTTTGATCTTCTAAGAACTTAGGTAGCTTAGTAAACAGTCTCATTCTCTTGCAGCCCATGAGTTTTTCAGCTCCTTGTAGCCTGGACCTGGGTGGCAATTTAACACATGGCTGCAAGTCTTTTCCTGTTTCCCTTATTTTGGTTTTGGGTTATTTTTTGGGCAAGGTCCCTCTGAAGACACTTTGCTTTGTATCATGCAGCCTGTATCTTGCTTGTTTTGCACAATCTTTCCCACCAGCCTGCAGTGGGTATTTTCCAAAATTTCCATGGGTCAAGATGGAGTTCGTGGCACTGGCTGGGTCTCATGTTCAGCCCCATCACCTGTCAGCAGCTGTCTCAGTGCATATACCCTAGAAACGATCACCTACTGGTCTGAGTGGAGTGTTCAAGCCCATATTGACTCCAGCACCAGCTTTCTTCACAAGCAGAAGATTTTTGCAGCCTGCTGACCATAAGCATAATGGCAGCAGCTCTAGAAAAGCAGCTGAGGCAGCTCCAGTTCACACACAGCCTGCACAGCAGGCAGTGGGAACCTGCCTCAGATAACAGAGCTTAGCTCGCCAGGGCTACAGCCTTGGGCTGGGTCTGCAAACAGGGCAGGAGCAGAGGGAGTGCAGGACAGTTTGTAACAGCGCTGACGGGTCTCTGTGCAGGATTGCCACATACTTGCACCTGCCTCAGTGTTCAGTGCCAAGCAAAACAGCCACAAGGACACAGGGGATGGGGAAGTGGGATGGAAAGTAAACTGAAGCAGCCATGGCCCCAAGCTCCACACAGGGCTGTGGGAGCGTCACCCAGAGTTGGTCGCTGACCGCAACTCTCAGCTGCTATCACAGAGCACAGCTGTCCTGGGGGCTCTGCCATCCAGATTTTGCCTACAGGGCAGAAACATCATTACTGGGTTGAGCAAGCTGAGCTGCTGCTTTGGGGAAATGGGTGTGATCCATCATAGAGAATCTTTAACTTCCTCCTCCTAGAAAATTCAGCAGCAGCAGGAGATCCAAGTTTTGCATGATACTTCCAAAATTGTTTTCCAGGAAGATGCCAGAACCAAAGTAAGTATCTGCTAACCATAGATGTATGAGCTTTCCACAAGGAGCGGCTTTATTAAAAAATAAAATATGACTAGATACTTTTTCAGTGTGTTGTCCATCAGGCACAGAGATGCATCTGTATGTTTTTGCAGAAACCATGGGAGAAGGCTTCACTGGCCTTCTGGAATTCAGGCACAGCAATTAGTTCATGTGTACATGTCTCTGTTTGCACACAAAACTTTTGGCGTGGCATGGATGGCAAGTTTCAACTTGAGCCTTTGTGGTTAACAAAACCTCCTTTGCTTCTGTGTGAAACCAAGTCTCCAGGCAGAGTTATTAGTTTAAAATAAGATCATTAGATGTGGGTTGTTTTGTTGGTTTTTTTTTTTTACTCCCCTCCAGCTGGTTCTTTACTACACAGACTCTCTTTTACTAATCCAGATGGTTTTGGGCAGCCAGGGCTAAGTGCCATGCCAGTTTATGAGGTACAGCCCAGCCAAGCAATTCTTCATTCTTGATGTGTTGTCTGCTGTCCATTACTTCAGCTCTTGGCAGGACTTTATGATGTGCAAACATTCCTTAGGGGACTTGTTCACATAAGCTCCAGTATGTCACTATTTCTGGAAACCTTCAAGCAGCCCATTATAATCAGGTGGTCATGTTTTCCTAGGACAAACAAGTCTGTTCAGACTTTGTCCTGTGGAATTTCAGGTTGGTTGTACTGTAATCAGAGGTCCTGTCTGCTGGGCATTTCTGTCCTCTAGCACACTCTGGCCACACCTAACTCCATCCCAAATTACAGCCTGACTTGAACTCCGAAGAGGAATCGGAAGTCAAGTTTCCATGTTATCCTTTGTAACTTCTACAATTTTTTGACCTGACGTGAAAGTCAAGCATTAGTGTTTGAAAATATCCAGTCTAACCAGGTAAATTTCAGTACTGACTATAGAACATCTCAGGTCATTTTATAACTGACTTTGTCTGAGTTATCTCACAAGCCTGTCATGTCTTCATATTCATGTGTGCTAGGACAAAGGAACAACAAATCATTCTGTTGTGGATCAGCAAGTGGAACACTTGCAATTACTGTACAACACTAATGACAATTTACCTGGGACACAGAAGTGAAAGAAGAGACAAGATCTTTCAATAAATCCAAGTGCTTATACACCAACACATCTTACATGGCATAAGCTTAGAGGTTTCTTCAGATATTGAACATAGAATAATAGGTAAATTCATAGCTCAATCCAGGCATTTTTTAATGTCTGTTGCTTAAATCTTTAATTGCCTTTTGGAAATATTTTTTCTTAAGAAATAACAGATTCAGAACAAAGTGCTTTAGCCTTGTTCTTTTGGTTTGCACCCCTCTTCCCATTCATGAAGTACAGTGCTAGAGATACTTTCAAAACCTTTCAACTGATGTGTTTCTCCGGTCTCAAAAGAACACTAAATAGCATTAGTCTCTGATCTCTTTGTCCATGGCAAACTACATTTCAAGGCATCCTGTGTGCTATAAAAGGTTTAATTTCTGCTCTGTCAGGCAGGCAAGGAGATGTTTGTGATACTTTAATCTCTCATAAACTAACAGTATTTGAATTTGTCCATTTTGGTTTACTAGCTGCTGTTAACATTCTATTGGTCTTTAATCCCAGTGCTCACATATGACTTCAGACTTATATGTATCATCCTTTTTCCAAACAGCTCTGAAGTAGTTCACCACGTGTGGTTGGTGGAGGCTCAGCTGAGTTCTGTGCACCTGACTTAACCAGGTTACTCACTCAGGCTAAGCCAGACTCAGAATTCAACTACAGAACACTACTACAAACTCGCAATGCATTTCAACAGCAGGTTCAAGCAGATGTACTAAGTAAGCCATTTTGCTTGTTTTTCTTTGTTTCTCCAACAATGGGAGCTTTTCATTTTTTTTTCTTTTTGTTCTCTCAAGCTCTAGGGCTTACCAGTCCTTATGTTTGAATATGAAGAACACTGGGATCAGGATCCCCCTTTGTCTCAGCAGCCTCAGAGACTTTCAAGAGCAGAAAGACAGGTGAGATAAAGATGTTTGATACATCTTCTCCTGCTGAATGGCACTTATCAACTGCAGCAATTCAGGACTAGAAGAGGAGTTACTCCTCTATAACTAATGTTGTCCTAGCCAGCAGGCAGCTTCCATGCTGTGTAGCCCCTCATCACAGCGTAGGGTATCTTTGGCAAAACAGGGAGTGCACTTCTGGCCCTGCATAAGGCAAGAAGATGTAGGAGAAGAAAAGAGGGTCTCTGCTATGCACCGAGTGTTCATGAAAAGAGGTGTATCCAAAATTATCTAGATGCATTAGAAACCCCAACACATAGCAGTGGATGTAGCGGTCCTAAGAAGAACAGAACTGCAATGTGGCTGTCATTTTGTTAAAATCAGCCTTCAGCACGTGTCAAGGCCCACTTTAGCTCAGGGAGCCAGACAGTTCTGTTAGACTTGTTAATCTGAACAGCCACATCATGCAAGATAGAAGCTTCTTTTTCCTGTTCCCCAGCTATACTATCATCCATCCTGGGGTTATCCCAATAAATATGAGGGCAGTGGAAGGGGGTATCCAGGTTGTTGAAAGTGTATCACTTGTACCAGCTGCCTTACCAAGGAAGCCAACAGGCTTGCAGGTTAGGGATACTGAAGACTTATGAAAGACAGGGAAGAATAAATAGATTTCTGCCAGTCAGCCTGACTGAGCTCAAAAGGGGAAATAATACAAGTTCCCTATTACCATGCACATCCAAAATTCCTTGAACAGGAAGCCTGGGGACAGGGCAGACTCAACACCCTGTAGATGTATGTGCATTGAAGCCAAGGAAATGTGATTTCTGTTTTAGTGTCACATGAAAACAGTTATGTCCTTGCACTGAGTGCAAGTCAAAAGGATCTGTTTCTCTCTGCACTCCTACGCTACTATAGTGCTCAGTCAGAGAAGTCTTAATTCATCCTTGTTTATTTTTTAGAAAATCCCTATATATCTAGGTGCTTAAAATGAAGCATTAGTTACATGGAATATGTGCCCTCAAAGTCCAGAAGTTGCTGGATATACTGCAAAGGTGTACTGGGGCCAAGAGTGACCCAGTGACCTCTGCAGGAGATGCTGGTATGGCTGTGAGGCACTGGCAGGGCAGCAGCAATCATGATCCAACCTTCTCAACATAATTAGCAGGATAGAGTCCAACTTGGCCAGTGAGAAGTTGGCCCTTGCACCAGCCCTGCTCATCTTCCTCACTGATCTTCATTAGTTCTTCACCTAAAAGTAAAAACATGCATTAGGAAGCAGCCTTGAGAAAGGCAGCATGGCATTTTTACCCACCTCAGAAGACTTGATAAAAAGCAAGACCTATTGGTCTGAATCACCACACTTTTCTCCCCTTATCAACACTGTATCATATTGCACAGTTTAATCAAAGCCAGAGTTACTAACCTCTTCAGTATCTGTGATCAATACCATCCCCTAGGCCAAGGAATTTAAACAGGCCTTCACTTATGCCATTCAACATCAGAAATACTTTTGTGCCCTATAGTTCTGCCTGCTTTCCTGCCCCAAGGAACATGCTTACAAGCCAGAGCAATCAGAAGGATCTCAGATTTTCTTCTTAGTGGCTCCTTTGGTAGGCAAGTGGGAAGGAAACATAAGAAACTGCTAAGCTCTGTTCCATGCCTGTTTCATGATGAAGTGTCTGGTTTAGCCAGCAAGGCATGCAATCAACTAATTTCACAGACTTTGACCAGAAAAGATCCCACATCTACTTTGGGAAGGGTAGAGAGGTCCCCTTCTCCACCAGTAGAAGGTCATATTTTTGCCAGAAAGGGAGGTCTGACTGCATCAATAGGCACATCCCACACTGTCAGAGGCTCAGAAAGTCATTGCTGTTAAGCTGAAGCCTTACTGCTGCATGTTGCTCAGAACAGCTTTGGAAAGGAGATGACTAAACCTAAGAAGTCATACCCCATTGCATCTGCTGGGTGGGAAAAGAGAGCAGTCAAAGTCTAGAGCACCCATACTGTGAAATATTTTAAAAGCCACAAGTTAGTGTTAGAAGTTTACTAGTATGCTAACACTGCAGCACAGATACTGGTCTCAGGCATAAGCCCTGCTACTAAAGGACTTCAGTGCCTTTTTAAAACAGGTGTATTTTGGAGCACTATTGCACAGAGATACCATGTAAAACTCAAAACAAGTGAGATGAGAGAGACACTCCCAAGACCCAGATGTCCTCTTGAAGTTGAGAAGAGGGCACATGCAAACTAATTTATGTGCAGGAAGGAAAGGGAAAGGGTCTGTTTGCTTCAGCACTCAATCCTCTGCTGCAAGCAAGAATCTCCATTCTCAAGATACCCATTTTGAGCAACAGCTGGTTTTTTGCCAGTTGAACTCTGCCTTCAGTAGTGCATGTCAGTCAGCTCAGCTTTCTCCCAAAATATCAATGTTCACGTTACTTCAAAGGACAATCCAGACCACCTATGGAATTTTTATATCAATGGTACAAGGGAGAAGCATTTCATAAACTCTCAAGATACAATGTAGAATAAATGCCTCGAGGAGGGAAGAAGGATCTGTTTTATCCCTTGGGGTCTGCTCTCCCTACACTGTGTCCAAGGCCTAGACAGCCTCTTTTCATGTGGCCTCACTGTCTTTTAGTCTAGAAAAAGTTGGACTTCCCAATGTACCATCCACCTCACAGGAGCTGGCAATGCATCAGACCAAGGGAAGGAGAATAAGTATCAGTTTTCAAGGGGACATCCAGTTCTTAGAGTATTTCAGTCAGTCAGCCCAAGTGAGGACAGCAAAAGGTTAGTAAGAGATTAGTGCTTCTGTACCTGCTTTAAAGCTCAGCTCATCAGCCTCCTGTCCTGTGTAATCGTACAGTGCTCGTACCCGTACACCTGGTACCTTTATGTCCTCCTCGTGCCCGTTGGCATCCAGGCACTTCTTGGGAGTGTCTCCATCTGACCACTCTGAAATGTCTTCCTTCTCTCCGCTTTGTATGTGGAAGGCAAGAGGGGACAATATGGTTGTTAGTAAATTCATCTCTCACCCACCTCCTCCTGAATCACGCACCACCCTGACTCCCCCCGAGACTGCTCTGCTATAGAACAGGGTGCAAGATGCCCAACAGCCAAGTGAAGGTGAACAGACCCCCAGAGATACTAGATTCTGTTGAAAGCGTCCTAGCATTAGAGCCTTGAGGGCAAGTAGGGTAACTCACTCAAAGTATTTTCACACATGCACACCCTTCATGATCCAATCCTCCTCTAGCAGACCCTCTTATACAAGAAAGGCCAATCCTAACTGGAGAGCCCAGCTATGTCCAGAATTATTCCAGCCAAGAATAAGACAGAGGAAGAACCATGTTTCCCATTCTAAAGAGATATCTGGAATTACATTTTCCAAGTCAGGGACAAGAGCAGAAGTGAAGAGCAGCAGAGGACAGACACCTGGAACCCAAAAACCCCTGAAGAGGCTGTGTTCCATACTAACTTCACATGGGTGGGTGCCTTCAGGGTGTCATAGAAGAGGCTGTTCTGCTCCTCTTGATAGGAAAACCTGTAGATTGACAAATAGGGCCCCTGAATCCAATAGACTGTGAAATACAGTAGTGGCCCTGAGAAATCTTGATATCCCCATTCTTCTCTGCTCAGTTTACTTAGGCCAGAGTTCACCTTTTATAGCAGGACAGCTACTGGAACAGTAGGACGAGTCTGTTCAGCCTCTCCCTATTCTCCAGCTTGCTTCCTGGCAAGGGAAGCAGCTATACCCAGACTTGTCAGGTAGTACTCAGCACCATGCCAGGGAAAAACAATAAAAATCTGATGCCTGCACTTAGGAAACCACACAGCCAACTGGCAAAGCTGCCAGTTCCCAACTCTTCTCACTCTGTCTGGAAGGAGGAAGAAGAATCAGGGAAATGCATGCCAGAATCACACAACAGTAGCCTGATTGGGCTAAGTCTTGTCACTAGAAGGATCTTTACAAGGAATGCATCATGTGAGGCAGCATGTACTGGAAAACAAACAAACAAACAAACCCAAACCAAATCCAAACAGCTACCCTAAACCGCCTTTTCTACCTGGTCTTTTCCAGAGTGACACAGGCAAGGCCATGGGCAAGAGACAGGAAGTTAAGGAAGAGATCACTCCTCTCAATCCAATTCATGCATGACCCTAGGCAGGACTAACTGATGTATCCCAGATTTCTGCCCTTACCTCTGCCTTGTCTGCAGAGGGGTCTGTGAGACAACACCATCTCGTGTAGGCATAATGCTGGTCAGTGTGACATCATCAGCCATCTTGCCACTCTTCTCCTTCTTGGTGATTTGCCGCTGTGTTTCAAGGGACCATTCCTGTTCAAGGAAAACCAGTAACACTATCAAGCCACTCAGACAGAAAAGTTCTGTGCATCGTTTTTGGCCAGTACAGGACAGAAGACCAGGTTGTACTTCAGTAGTAGCTGAGCTGGTTAGCCCAATGGCCTTGCTGGCATAGCAGGCTCACTTCTGTTGAATTCCAAGGTGCAACAACCAGCTGTGAGGAAATTATCACAGGAACTTGTCAGAAGGCCCTGAGCCACCTCCTGTTTTTCAACCTTGCAGCTCGATGGCTGGAATATTTGCGGTTTGGCAGGGTTGCATATGTCCCTTTGGGCACCAAACAGCTTGCAACACAACAGCAATTTTAGAAGAGCTTAACATCCTGAGCCTGCTGAGCAAAGACACGGTCTCTCCAACACAAGACTAGTAATCCCCCAATTTCAGTAAAGCAGCTAATTGTTTGGAAGTAGTACACTCTAGAACGCTACATCACCTCAAACTGAGGCCAATTCATCGCCATGCCCGGTCCATGAGTGTTGCGCCACCACTTCAGGTCCTCCTGGTTGTCTGCAGCCATGATGACTTGGTGGAGATCTCGATACAACGCATGAAAGCTATGACCAGAACAGACAGAACCACCAGTAACCAAGTTTCTCGGCAGTTTCCCAAAAGCCAAGTTGGAAGGAAGAGATTAAATTAATGCACAATTACACAGCATCCTAAATCCCACAGGATTAAGGATCCTAGAGCAGCACCTGTTCAGCCCTTGGAAAACACAGCCACCCTTACAGAAGAGTCAGCCTGGCAAACAGGACAGGCTTGTTTGGTGTGGCACTGGCTAACAAGTGCCAGCTCTCAGCACAGCTCATTAAGCGTGCCCTGAAAGAACCTGGCACATTCTTGCACACAGACAGGGAGGTGGCTCACATTTGTTGCCTCTACCTTAAAAGTACAGGGGCACAGAAGATTTTTGACTGCAACTATTTTCCCTGTGTAAGCCCTACTTAAGGGCAACTTGTGGGCTTTACAGTTATTATTTCACAAAAGGTCTCTACTCAGGACAAAATGGGTGGAATAACTATAGATACCAGAAAGCAACAGAGCTGCATTCCTCAGGCTGGGATTACATATAGAAACACGGAGGCATTTCATAGAATAGAAACACACCCACAGGACACAGTACTGGACAGTAGTGAAAGAGGAAGTGTTCAAAGGGAGAAAATCCTCATAGGGAAGCCTGGCATTGCCCTCAGAGATACCAGCACTCTGAGGTATTTGGTCAGTCTAAAAGGACCAAATACCAGTTCTAAGATACACTTTAAAGGGGAAAGAACAAGACCTGGCAGATGCAAGCAGCCGGCTCCCTTTCACTGACACCAGAATTGGCACCCCTCACCAGAGCCTACAGCACTCCAAGCTGGCAGAATTCCCTCCTGTATCAGGGCTGGTACCTTTCGCTGGTGGAGAGGTTGAGATGCTGGTGAAGATTCAGGAGCATCTCCTTAAAGAAGGACAATCGCTTGCGCTCTGCCTCCTGACAGCCCTCAAACACTTGCTCCATGTCCTCCATGTAGCGGGGATTGTAGCGGTTCAACTCTTCCAGCATCTTCTCATATTGATCCTTGCACTGTATCAACACAGGAGGACAGCAACGGTGAAATGTGTTGCCCTGATGTCAAACCAGCAACATTCCCCCTACTCTGGCTTGGGACTGAGAAGTTTTTTCCCCCCTGCACTGTTGAACAAACACACCAAAGAAAGAAGTAGTCCCACAGCTGGTATCCCAGTCCATTGCTCTCCTAATATTCTTGCAAGTTCCCTGTCCTTCCTTGCTACTCTCTTCCATAGAGGACCTTCCACACATTCACTCATGTGGACAGGCAAATCAGCTACTTTTGGTAGCAACATCTTCAGCTCTACAGGTTCCACCCCCTGCACCAAATCCCCTACACTTTTTTCCCTTTTTTTATTTTAAATTCACTTACAAATTAGATCTTACCCAACTTCAAAGACAGAGACCTTAGTTACTGAAATCTCAGTCTAGCTCACTAAAACCTCAGACAACGGAATCTCATACCTCCTTCAGCAGGAGCCATTTCACTGAGTGACATTACAACCAGTGCTTTTTTCTTGAAAGGAGTATCCTTATGACCCACATCCATACAACATACTCTCTCTCACCTTCTCAGCCTCCTGAGTGCACTTCTCTACACGCTCCTGCAACTTGCGCAGCTGTTCCTGTGAGACAGTTGAGTCTGCCTTGGCATGGTTCTCTCTTGTATGGGCTGTTTTCTCCTCCTTCCGGGCTGCATGATAGTTTTTCTTAGAAGTCTCCACCTGTAGGAGGAGGAATGCAGAGAAAGTGATGATCCAGCCCACACTGATCCTCCAATACTCAGAGAAGGCACGTTAACATTTGTTACAGTCTGCACCAACCTACTAGGAATGCCGATTTGGCATTTAGTAAACAATGCTCCAGTGGGAAGAGGTACCTTCAAATGATTTCTTTTTCAGTGTTCACCTGCTATGCAGGAATACAGAACCTGTTACCAAAGTCTTCCCACGTGCAAAGGAAGTTATAAAACCACAAGAACAAGAGACCATCTAGACATCCCTCCCTCTCTGGAATTCTCTGCTACTCTGGCTAAACTCAGTTTGTTTGCCCACTGGCTCTGCAATCAGGCAGCCAGCTCAACTGCCCTAATCTCTCCTTCCCCATTCACACTTTGCTCACGTCTTTCATCTTCTTCACCCAGGGTTTCTGGGCTTTTCGGAACCCATCCTCTGCGTCTTTTGTTTCCTTGAAGCCGCCAATCATCTGCTTGTGGTAGGCCTCCTTCTGCCAGGCCTTGATCTTATCTGAGTCTTCACCAGCCAGGTGGTTCCGGACAGCTAAGTGAATTTCACTCAGTTTGTCTGCAGCTGTCAGGAAGGCATGCCAGGCCTTTTCCAGAGTACCATACTGTGGACCTGCAGGAATAAGCACCAGAGGGGCTCTTATACCTCCTGCCCACAGAAAGGAAAGCGCATCTTTTCCCCTCCTACATACATCTACCAGTAGAGTCACTTCCTTAATTTTGCCCCATCGCACAATTCAGCATTAACTGTTCTCCACAGACCCACCAGGCAGCATCTAGACTGGCTGTTACAGATGGGCATTTCTTTCAGGCAGCCTCAGCTGTCCCAGATGGTCCCTGTTAGGAGAAAGTTTCTGTAAAAAATTCTCTTCACAGATCTTGCCTGAGCTTGACAGATAGCAACACTAGTTCATGACTGAGGCTAAGCTTCTGCTCCACAGATCAGTAGGTCCTTTGGGACATCTGTCCTGCTGTTTCCTGTTACTTTGTGAGACGCTATCAGTTTGAGCACACTGCCACTACTAAATCATAGCATTAGGAGTTGTGCTCTGACTGGAGGAGGAGAAACAGCCAAGCCATCCTCAAAAAGGGATATCTGCAGCTTCATTTAAGACTTGAACTGCCCAAGGACTTGCCAAACTAAGCAAAAGGATCTTTTTTCTTTTGTAACCAAACACATGACAATGTAGTGAACACCTCTCCGAGTGAATCAGAGGACTGACTACAAAAACAGGCACACACACAAAAAAGACACCCAAGAAAGCCACCCCCTTCCAGGGGAAGGGAAGCCTGTCCCCCACAGAAACAGTGTCACCTCAGTAAGAGATAGCACTCCAGGAAGAGAGCGCATAATTGCTTCCTGCTCCCAGTCCAATCTGCCAACTTTACCTCTCTCCACATTGGTCCTCCACTTACGGGACCACTCTGTTAGCTGTTGGGCATAGTTCTTCTCTATCTTGGCTCGCTCCTGGAAGCAGGAGATTAAGTCATTGCAGAGCCGGTAGCCGTCATCCACACGCTTCACTGTTCGCTTGTAGTTTCCAGCCTGAAATTTCACACAGCATTATTGTTTATGCTGTACTGACTTTCACGTTCCTTCAGAACAGACAGCAGCAGGTCGGTCATTGCATGGGGAGGGAGCGTAGGCCCTTCTGAAGCCAGCATCTGAGTTCAGACCCTCCTCTGACACTCTCTCAGGCAGACACAGCACTGGAGGGAAGAAGCTGAGATGCTCTGCTTGCTTCTCTCACACCTCAGATCAGTGTCAGCTGAACAAGGAACTCTCACTCCACAGAATCTGTGGAAGAAAGGGTCACCTCCTCCCTGCAGTAACACACAGCATGGTGCTGAACCTCCCCCCAGTTCCTTCCTTCCACTTCACGAGGGCAACATGTCACCCGCAAACCTGGAACCCAACCCCCTAATTCCACCGATGGGCGATGGGTGGTAAGACAACATTCCTACTTCCCTTACACTCCAATTATCCTTCCTTACCTCCCAGAAACTGCCCCCAGGAGCCTCCCCACCAGCATCATCTTCTGATGACATCACCCCCTTTTTCTTGCAGCAGAGAATTTTTGCAGATTTCAGTTAACCTGAGAGGAGAGAAAAGTGATTTCAAACACAGCATTGGCTGAGCCTTTGAAGACAGCACAGTTCTCCATGACTCTTGGAGCTGGAGGAGCCCAACTTGCTACCGTACAGTCAAGTACTGGCATCACTGCCCCTTCAGCTGCAGATGGCCAGGTCTAGCAGATGCCCAGGACTGAACCAGCCTCCTCCCTCCCTGCAGACAGGAGGCCACCTTGGCAGGCCTGTAACGCATTAGGAAAGGATTTTGTAGAAGACAATCTTGCTAAACTTTGGCTGTACAGATATTGTAGATGCTCGTGAATCTGACACTCTCCAGCAGCACGAGATATCTTTGCAGAGATTCCTTTCTTAACCAAGGCCCTCAAGAGGGTAGCAGAAACTCAGGTAGCTAAAGCTATTTGAAATCTGCCTTGAAAGATTTTAGTAAGTCTTCTGTCAACGGGATGACTCCAGCTTCCCAGTATGACTCAGGATTACGGGATTACAACAACTGAGTGGAGAAAACAAGGTTGAGCAGTCAGCAGGCAGGCATGTTTTGAATGGGGAGGAGCCCTATAAGCTGCCCACCAGCTGAGCTGGGCTTGAGCAGAACTACAGAAACATGCTGGGGCATACTCAGCCAAACAGCAGCACAGCATACATGCCTGTTACCCAGCACTGCTTCCCTAGAAACAGCCCAGCACAGCTGGCATTTTCACTACCCTCAAGTCTTACTGCATTAGGCTCAAAATCTAGGCTGGAAAGTAAAAGCTTTTTCTCATTCTCCACTGTCTCAGAACTTCTGCCCATTTCCCTGTGCTAGCCTGCACTGCCAGTTTGTTCCTGACACGGTGCAATTCTATGAATTCCTTAGAGAGAGGCTCAGGGTTGTTCTTGTGCAGGAACGAGAGCAGGAGTAACAGGAAAAGACCCAAGCCCAGTCACTTGCTGACAAACCCAGTCCTTTCTAGGCAAGCCTAGGTTACTGCAGCATACGTGGCCTTTGCTGCCCCTTCTCCTCTTGCACATTCCTAGTTATAAAAAGCTTCCCTCACACCCCAGAGAGGTATCTGCTCATTCTGCCAGCCCACAGATGAAGATCAGGTCAAGAGTCCACATCTCCCACCTCCGGCAAATCCTTCTCAGTGTCACAAGCCGCACAGTGAAGCACCCCAACACAGGCTGCAAGAATTTCCGACATTTGGCTCTGTTTGCCCAGTGTCATCCCATGGAGTGTGTCAGAAATATATTAATGCTGTTCCTCCAGCGTTCTTCAGAAGGCTGGAAGTGCTGAATTCCAGTCACTGAAGCACGTTGTTAAATGGGATGTGACATTCAGGTGGGCAAACCTTGAAAAATGATGAATACTTCCACCAAACCGTCTGTCCCTGTCCTCCCTCCCCACTGTTGGTCAGCTGGCCCCAAAGCCACCTTACATGCCTCTGGGGCATGCAACTCTACTGCTGTCCCAGTAACTACATACCTGAAAGCTGAAAATGAGATGCTGCAGGGGAGCAGTGGGAAGCTGGCAAGTGTGTCTCAAGCTCTTCAAACTCTGAAAAACGACTGGAGGAGACAGAGATGGGCACAGTCAGACACTTTACAGGGATGATGCCTGTTCTGATGCGCTGCAATCCTAGGGATGTCCCCCTTCTACTAGTTACTTAGGAGGGGCACCCTCTGATATAGCAACTGCAGCCAGCGTGCCTCCCAAGATGCCATGTTCCAGCATGTAGCAGAGATGCCAAATCCTTGTGTCACAAGATCTAGCCCCAGAGAGAGTTAAAATAGAAACACTGGGGCAGCATGACAGCACTGTGCGGGAAAGGTAGCATCACAACAGCTGAGCACGGGGAACAGAAAGGCCTAAAATAAGCACATGCCCCAGGCACCCTATGTGGGGCCTGGTCCCCCCCCACTGGACAGTGTCCAATGCAGCAAACCCCACCGCCTTCATGCACTGCTGCACACACTTTTACAAATAGCTGGCTTTGGGAGCAAAAGAGAAGGACACATACACACATATACTTTTTCCAGTCCCTTTTAAATGAAGAGGATTTATATACAAGTCAAAGGACTTGATAATTCTACATTCAAAAAATAAAACCAAAACTCATCAGAATGCATATTCTGGTCTAGAGTCCCTTTAGTAGCAGAGCACCTAGCACTGCCCTGGTAGGATGTGGCTCTCTATCAGGAGAGCTTTTTTTATTCCTTGGTTCTGTTAGCTGTTCCTATCACATTCTCAGAAATACTTTATTTTGCCATTATGGTACAGGTAACTGTCATCAACTTTCCACAGAGCAAAGAGAAGCAGAGGCTAAGGAAAGAAAGGGCTGAATGAGGCATTTTTGTTTATCTTACATTTACGTCCCTGGGTATTTACTTCAATGTAAAAGTTTATTTATTTAAAAAAAAAAACCCTCAACAACAGACAAGCAAAAAAATCCCTTCTCAGTCACCAGTATTCACTCAGCTGAGGCTGGATGATTAGGAAACAGAGAAGAAACTGCAAAACTTGGAAGTGGGATTTTTAGTCAGACAGTAAGACCATTTTTGAGAAGAAATGAAAGAAGGTAGGAAAAGAGAAGGAAGGAAAGAAAAGCAGATGGGTTATTGCAAAGAGACTAATGACCTTTGGTGAGGAAGAGGGGGGGAGGCTGGGAAAGAAGAGTTGTGACCCTTTTGCATGGTCCAGGTCACTGGACAAAAGGCTAAAGCTCATCATAAACCTTCTAAGGCTTCCTAGTAGTCCCCAATAAAACCAGACTACACATTCCTAAAATTGCTATGTAAAAGTATATTTAAAACTGTCCCAGATCCTTTCTTTCCTTCTTTCTCCTGATGAAGACACAGATCAATTATATATGACACATGAAGGCTGTATCACTTTTTCCACACCACACCCCCATCCCCAGTTTATCAGGAAGCAATGAATCACAAACATGCCTTCCATCTCTGGTTTCCAATTCAGGCTGACTACACAGTGCTAGAATTTGGGGGGTAAATGTGGAAAGCTGTTGTGTGTCACTATGTGCTTGTTCATTTGAGGGACAGTCAGGCAAAAAAAAACCTGAAAAGACTCCAAACCATTCTGAAACCTGAATCCATTCTTTCCGCAGTTTCCATGTTAGAATTTGAGCAATACCTGCCCTACTTTCTCAGAAGTTACAAACCCAAATAACCAGTTTTACTATCACTAAGACTAACAGGCTCTGAAATATAATAGTAGGTAGCTCTGTGGATCAGACTAGGGTTTATCATGGCTGCATAGCCTCTGTAGACAGCAGCCAAAAGCAGATACCTTCCCTCATTTTGAGAGCAGAGCAACCATACATGACGCCTCCCTGCATACTCTCCAAGCCTCTAACCATTTGCTGACAGGATCTTCCTGAGCTGGACCTGGCACCTATGAATGAACACTCAACAGATTTCTCTTCCATTAATTTCTTCAATCAGCTTTTGAATTCACATGAATTTTCAGCATCCATAATATCATGTGGCATCCCACAGCTCAAGGGTCTACTGTAGTCATCGCTACCGAAGCTAGGTGGGAGAATACAGTAAAGTAGGATATTTCTACAGGCTAATTTTCATGACCTGAATAGCAGCCAGCTGAATACATATTTCCATAGCAGTTGGACAGACTTTATAGAAGTCCAGAAAAATCTAGCTTGTTAGAAGCAAAAGTCAGAGAACAAGGAGGACCCTTTTCTGCCAGGCTTTTTCTGGAGTTTACATACTCCATGACCCCATGTCAGTCAGATCAAATTGGATCTGCATGCAGACATAGGGAAGGTACTTAGTACTGGACAGAGACGCTGAAGAACAGCTGCTGCCGTCACCCTGAGCCCAAGAAGAGCAAGTAGATTGGCAGTCCATCCCTTCATGCCTAGCTATTCCTGAAATACCATGTGTTGTGAGCCACCAAGAGCTTGAGACCAAGGAAAACCAGAGTTTGACAGAAAAAGCAAGTATATGCCCTACATGCCAAATCTTGGAGGCTGTTTTATAGCAGAGATGACAGGAATACCTTGTCGACAGCCTGATGTTATAACAAGAGCCACCAACTGATTCAGGAGAGCTAGCAGAGCCTGTACAGTATGAGAAATGTAGCTGCAGTTATACTGGGTCAACTACAGTTTCATGTGGGTCAGTGCCAGATACAAGACTCCTGCTGATGCCACTGCCACCTCTGCTAAGAGGAAGCTATTTAGCAAATCATATTTGCAGGACAAAGGAATGTTTATCCCTACCCTCCTCTATCAGCTCTCACAGTTAAGAGCTACTTAAGACCTCACTGCAGCTCCTGCAAGACAAGCTCTCTGAAGAAAGAGGGAAAGAGTAAATACATCGCTATTCATTTCACACCTCCACAGGTTTATGGATAAGGACATCACAGACACCACTACAACCACCAGCATTAGGCAAACTCAACCATGCAAATGAGGTTTCTGCAGAGCTACAACCATTTCTGCTAGTAGTGTTAGAAAAGGTACTTCCCTCCTTCCCCCAAATACCTGCTCTCTCTTAGGGACCAACATAATTATTAGGCTACACCTTCTATCAAGTCCCTATTAAGTTATCAAAAAATGTCTCTTGTTCTTTAGCTGCAAAGAGGTGGAATGGCTCGTGACCGCTTCACTGGTTCTGAGCTCCACTCAGGAAAATGCCAGAGGGTTTGGCATAACAGAGCTGTTTCTACCTTTAAACCATGTTGTTAGTCTCACTCCGATCCAGTCAGGGATGCATCTCAGACCACAGATCCCTGCCCTCAGACCAAGGTGTCAGACTAAAACCTTCCCTTTCAAAAACATGTGCGAATCCAATTAAGCACTGCAAGGTGTGCCTTTTTGTTTCATGCTCTCACATCTGTGCAGCAGTGTCCCGATTCGCAAAGAAAACTTCTAGACCCAACAGAAATAATAGCTCTTCTCCCCTGAAAGCTTTCCCTAAGGCAGGTAAACCACAGAAATCCTCTTCCATCTACATCACATTCCAATACTTCTAGCCTCCAAATGCCCAAGGCATCACTGTGCATTGTTTGACTGCCTCCTGAGACTCCTTGTAAGCAATTGTTTTCCTAAGTTTGCGAGATCAAGCCTCTGAACTCTAAAAAAGCTCAAAGGCTGGTGCATGCAGCCCTGCAGGAATTCATCCACACAAATGGAGCTTGTACACTGCACCAGGCAAGGCCTTCTGCCCAATACCTCTTCCCTTTCCTAACTGCAACAGCAAATGCTGGATGCAGACACATGTAGGAATAATCTGAGTTATATTTATCTAGTAACTGAGGCTTTGGTGGAGACACATTTTTATTATGGACTAATTTCTATATAGGTGTTAAAGCCAAGCTAAGCTAGAGTTTCAATAACGAATGGGCTGCTATACTAATATCCACCTCAAGACAACAACTAACACCACAAGGCAGCAATGTGATACTTTCTGCAGCCAATTTGTTTGATTCCCAGAGTTACTTTTCTGTGTAGCAGACAGTAGTGAAGGTATTGTTTTCACTCCAGGGCACTCTGGTGTAGGGTGAATCTGAAGTTTCAATCTGAACAATTAAGATCCACTGAAGGATGGCAGCCCAGCTCCCCTTACAGAATGATGGGCAAGAAATCCTTTTTCTTTTTCCTCCTGTTAACTTGTCAGAATGGAGCTGAAGCCAGGAGGTTCCACATGACTCCAGCGGTGTGATAAACTGGATCGCTGCTGGTACAGCAGAGTTAGGAAGGTCCCCAATGGAGAGAATGAAATGGGGCATGGGGCAAGGTGTCCTTTCCAGGCTCACCATCTCTGGAAGTGCACATCCAATAGCTCTGAACCAGTAATTGGGATGATGCCCAGTAATGTGCTCTCCACTGCCATTATATAGGAGGATTGATATTTACAGGTATACTCACCTTTCTCCAGAGGGGTCAGTTCTCTACTGCTAGAGAGGATGCCAAGTAACACAAAGATCCTCCAAAACTTCCCTTATAGGTATTTATCTTAGTGCAGTGGTCACACCCTCAGTAGAATCACATGACTGGGAAAAGGACTAAGCCAGTGTTTCCCAGCCACTCCCTAAGGACTGAAGCCTGCCAGGGCTGCCTAATACAGTTTCAAGCAAGATTTCAGCTCATCTCTCCAGCCAGGGAGAGGTCAGAGAAACATCAGGCAGAACAGCAACTACACACAGAGGTCACTTTAGCTGTGTGCAAGCCTGTAACAGAAGCCTGTATCCCAGACAATGATTCTCTAGAAATCATGTGGCTGTCCACCAGCAAAATTCTTCAGGATTATACCAAAGTACTAAAATACAGAGAAGATCCTGTTCCACTTGAAGGACTGACCTACTGACTCTACATGCTGCTTCATTATACTCTCTTATTTCAGACCACAGCTTCTTTATATTGGTCTCCTTCACATTCAGACCAAGCTAGTGTACAGATGACAGACATGCCCTGTGCATCACCCAAGTTGTCTTCAAAATGTTCATGCAGAATTCAATACTTTCCACATTTATTAGCTGTTCCCTGTCAGCGGCCAAGGCTACAGGACAGGCTTCTACTAATACATTG